AACTTTCCAAATTTATTTAAAAATATTAATCTATATACCCACAAAGCTCAACAAATTCCATATAAGATAAATATAGAGATCCACAGACATCAGAGTAAAAATGCTGAAAGCCAAAGATAGGAAGAAATTCTTAAAAGCAGCAAGAGTAATATGACTCATCACTTACAAAGGATCCTCAATAAGATCAGGTGACTTATAACCAGAAATAATGGAGGTCAGGCAGTGGGACAACACATTCAAAGTGCTCAAAGAAAAACATCTGCCAACCAAGAATCCTGTATCCCAGCAAAGCTATCTTTCAAAAGTAAAGGCAAAATAAAGACATTTTCAGATAAACAAAAACTATGACAATTTGTTGATAGCAGACCCACCTTATAAGAAATATATACCCACAGAAGTTCTTCAGGCTGAAAACAAGTGGCCCAGACATTAATTCAAATCCACAAGAACAAAGAGCACTAGTAAAGGTAATTATGTATTTATAAAAGACAGTGTAAATGCATATTTCTTCTTTCTCCTCTTAACTGATTCAAAAAGCCATTGTATAAAACAATATATGTATTTGTTGTGACTATAACATAGAAATATATTTGCCAATAATGGAGCAAAGGAGGTGACTGAGAACAATGCTGCACTGGAGAAATTACAAATGCTAAATCAGCCTTGCACACCTAGAATAGATCCCACTTGATCATCAATATTACCCACTTCAAGCTTAATAAAAATAAACCCACATAATCCAGCAACCAATTTTTTTTTTTAACGATTTTATTGGGGAACCAGGGGAGAGGAACAGCGTTGAGGAATCGGGGAAGGGGAACAGACAAGTTGCTGTCCTTTTGTTCTTCAGTCTAGTTGTGGAGGACGTCACTTCACTGGCCCATGTTGGTATAATCACTGCACTCTTCCCAGCTGAGGCAGTCGCTCACTGGCCATTGGGTGGCCGCTCATAGGGACTCACACCTGCTGCCAGCCAGCCCCACTGCAGCCTACACCCTCGCTGGTGACTCATGGCAGCCCAGCTCTAGGTAGAGCTGTTGTTCACCATCTTAGCTATAGAGGGCGCAGCATCACTGGCCTGCATGTGGGATCCGATCCGGGGCCTTGCTGCTCAGAGCTGGCGTCCCAAGCTTAAACCAGGTTAAACTCTTAACCAACGCGCTACTCGCCCGGCCCAGCAACCAATTTTTAAATACTACTAAGGCCCCATTATCAGTTCAGGGTTCCAACTTTAACATCTGAATAATTTCCTCCAAAATTTATGCATTAAATATTCTGGAATAAAAGGCAGTACAACGTGTAACTATTCCTGTTGTGTAGTTACTACTCTGAAGTTGGGTGTGCAATCTTTAAGGTTGCTTTAATAAGGAAGAGAATGTGATTTATAAAAGCCACAGTAAAATACAATTTTTCCATCTGAGAGGGTTATGTTTCTGAAAGCACTGTGATAGGAAAATAATTAGCTTAGGGATTTATGTTGTTATGGAAAAAGTTTTACACAGAACCCTAAGAAGTCAGTTTTTAGGTTCATTAAAATGAAGATTGTATTAAAGAAAGAGAATGATACTCTATATATTAAACAAGTAATAAATATTATATGATTTACCATTCCTTGCTCACTTGAAACTTTTCAGGACCTCCATTCTCACAGCTTCTATAAGATACTTGCAAATTTATTTTTGCTTTGTTAGACATATAACAGGAATATTAAGGCAATTAAGAAAAAAATCTAACCACATTCCAAATGTTTCATACTTTTCAAATCTTATGTCTCAGTTAATCCTATCTCTTGGACCCCTCCATTCCCAATCATAGAAATGCAAAACATATACTTGAGATTAAAAATATTGTGTAATTTGTAACCTATTAGAGAATCATAACTGTATTTCTCAAGCTCTTTTCTAATAGACTTCCTATTACAACATAGTACTTCCTGTCCATATTTTATTTATAGTCATCTCAGTGCCATCCCTTTAACAGAAACAGGAGTGGAGTTCTTTGCCTCCGGTTTTATTTCTCACATTTACGGCTGCATCCAAAGCCTCTCATTTTCTTCTGCCCTTCACTTTTTTCTCCTTTTCTGGACCCAAACTTCAGTTTCCTCTTTTCAAAATTATCTCGGTAAGAATGGCTAAAGAACTACAGTCACATAAGCCAAAATTCTAAAAGCTACAGAGATGTACCAATTAATTTTTAGTTTATTGTACTTGCAAATCACTGTAGAGCTTCTCTATGTTATTACTCATTACAACTTTTTCTCAATAAAATCTGCATGATTGTCTTCTTCCTGTTTTTCTTCTCTCTTTTCATATAAAAATCTTTTTTTATAATTTCATGTATTTCAGATAGCAATTTTACTTGAAAAAAATCTTAATTTATAGTTTATCTAAAAGCTCAGTTGTAAAAAATATAAAAATAAAAATAAAAGCTCAACTGTGGCCTTACAGTATTTTGAAAATAACATTGGAGAACATTTTTTTTCTTTAAATTATCAATGGATCCACTTTAATTTTAGGCCATTACTTCCCTTTTTTAGAAAAATAGCCAGTTTTATAATAAATGCTTCAAAAGTGTTCTAGTTAGCACCATCAAATTATAAGTTTATATTCCACGTGTTCATAAATGACTCAAAACTTTTAAATATGCTGACTTAACACAGACTACACAAAGAAATAGGCAAATGCATGTTAAAATTTGACCTTGTCTTGGAAATTTAGCAACAGGAGACATCATGGCATACTGGGGGAAAATGGTACTGAGTGAGAATAAGAGATAAGACAGAATTCCCTCATAAGCTTGTTCTTTAACTACAGGCAAGTCACTTAGTCTCTCTGGGTTTACTTCATCTAGAAAATGTGATCTCTTAAAATTTTTTCCAGCTCCAATAAGTTTATGAATTTTATGAACTAAAAATATCACAGAAAAAAATGTTAAAAAGGTTGAAATATTTAATCTATAAAATATCTGTTCAAATAAATACTGATTAAGCTATTACTTAACAATACCAACTTACCTTTTCTTTCTATAATTCTCCATAAAGAGGGGATGGAATATATATATGAAAAGCCAAACACATAGGCAGTGCACGGCATTACACAATATTGGATAAACATTGTTATTAGATTAAGGATGATGCTTAACCTTAATTCGGTGAGATGAATGAAATAGTCCTTGAAGTATGAGGATAATCACTTCTACACCATTTACTGAGTCTAATCATATATTAATTTTATTTTATCCATCATAACTAGTCAAATGATACTTTCTGAAAAATAAACAAGCAAAAGCATTTTCAACTCCTTGTCCCCAAGAAAGATCATCATAGGCAGGAATGATGAGCTAAAAAGTAAATGAGGGGTCACAAACTCAGCTTTCAGAAGCAGGATGAACTAAACGTGTGAAGTAGTTTATGTAACACAATAGAGAGCGGTAGGTCGGTGACAACAGAACAGGGTACATCTTGCCTAAAAACATCCCAACTAAAAAACACAAGCAACTTGTGGTTTTTCTTGTAGGAAAGATAAACATCTTTATCAATTAGCTTTCTGGGGTCTACAGTACTTCAAATAGTCCAGGTATCCAAGAACCTGGTTGAATTTAAAGAGAACACTTTTAAAATCAAAAGTACTTTTATAATTTAAATAAATAAGAAAACTTTAAAACTTACATTAATTCGACATTCAACAAATAAAAATTGGGCACTTACTTTATGCTAAGGCATTATTAGTATCCTTTCAGACAAGAAAGATATTGGTATACTGTTTTTATATACCAATGCAAATTAATTTTGACTAGTAGAATAAAAAGTATATTTAAAAAAATACTTTTTAATCCAAAGATTATTCATATATCTATAAATCCTTTAATTAGGAGAAAATGCTTAATCAAAAAAATTGCAATAAATACAGTGGGTTTAAGTAGAAATCACACCCGCCACTCTGTTGCTTTTCATCTTTATCTCTTTAGATCTGTGAGCAAATTTCCATGTTGTTTATATTTCTCTAAAGAGTTTTAACTGTCATTCAGAGAAACAAAAGTTATAAAGGAATCATTTGTAAGTAAGATGGAATAAAAAGTATGATTAGCTGAATTCTCTGGCATTTTCAAGTATTTTCCATTTGCAACTAAAGTGTATGGTTATTCCAAGCTATTCGATTTTTGGTATATACCCAATAACATTGAAAAATATGTACATGAACATTTGTACAAAAATGTTCACAGCAGCAATATTCATAATAGCTAAAAAGTGGAAATAACATAAATGCCCATCAACTAATGAATGGTTAAACAAATTGTGATGTATCCATAAAATGGAACATTATTCAGCCATAAAAAAGAATGAAGTACTGATACATAATGTAACATGGATGTAATTTAAAAACATTATGCTAAGTGAAAGAAGCCAAATAAAAGAAGCCACATATCCTTTGCTTTCATTTATATGAAATGTCCATAATAGACAAATCCATGGAGACAGAAGTAGATTAGCGTTTGTCAGGGGCTGGAGGAATGGGGAGAGAATGCTAGTAGACATGGGGTTTCTTCTGGGAGTGATGAAAAATGTTCTGGAATTAGAGAATGGTTGTACAACTCTGTGAATACACTAAAACCACTGAATTATACACTTTGAAAGGGTAAACTTTATGGCATGTTAATTTTATCTTAATAAATCTATAAAGTATATGGTGATTGCAACCTATTTATTGAATTTCTAAAAGATGACTTCATATTCTGCTAAACAGAATCTGATAGGATCCAGTATACCTTGTATATTATCATGAAAATTACTTTTGAACCAAACACTGTTTCAAAACATCATTCTCCCTATAATTATAAAACAGAAAACAAAACAATTTTTAAACATAAATATATTTAAAAGTTATAACGCCTATAAAATGCAATCTGTGCATGGGAAAAAGTAAAATATGTATATATATTTTACATATATATATATATATATACATATATATATATATATAAAACAAGTAGTAGCAACATCATTCATAAGCAGCAGTTAGTGTTTATTTTCCCCATATTTTGGTTTAACACCACAGTGGTAGTTTATTCTTTTTTAGGGAAATTACATAAGGTACATACAGCATGTTATGATTAAGTTATAGAAGACTGTGTAATTGGAAAATTAATTCCAAGTAACAACATTTCCTCTAAAAACACATTTATTATTAAACAAACTATTTTAAACTAGTGGACAATAAAATGTGCATATAATTTATTAAGTCCAAGATATATAATATAGTCAACTTGCATAAAATTACATATGGCATTTTAAAAACAGCCTATTGCTAAAATATCAGTAATTCAGGCAATTGGGATTTCCACAGGAGATAAATTGCCATTAATTTCATTTTTATGAAGAAAAGGTCTTAAGAACATTATACTACACTATTAAGAAATGCTATAGCATATTTTAAAAATCAAAATGGTGAAACATATGCATTAGGATATTCTTTTATGGGTACCAGCCCTATAGCAGCATTTCAGATGGTGATTTAAATCTAGTTAATCACATTTTTAAATGACTTAGGTTTTTATTTTCTTGAAATACATATCACATGTATAGTTTAGTTAAGAATTAAAATTTTCATTATAAATGAGAACTTACCATACTGACAATGTAAAGATATAAGAAATAAAGTACTTGGGCAGTCTAGTACTTTATTAGAAATATATCTACTAATGCCACAAAAACAAATTGTAAATACTAAAAATTTCTGATTTGGGAGAAATGAAATAAAAGAATGAATGGTTTTCTCTTCATCTCGAACTATAAAAATCCCTTTTGCCTATTAATTTGACCCGTCTCTATTCATGCAATTTAATGAACCCTCAAAATAATGTACACGTCTTTATACAGAATTCACATCTATATCAGTAAACTGCCAGTCTTTTTATATTTTTCAGTGCCTTATCAAAATATGGGTAACAAAGTTTTTCGTTCTATGAGGCAGGAAGATGTTTCCTAAGTACTTCTTTGGATGATGAAGGTATAGAATCTGGGAAGTACACCTCAAATTCTATTAGGAGGTCACCGCGTTGGTCAGGATTTTTTGGAAACGGCAGCCCATATCCAATAATTCTCCTCCTCATTCCAGGTTTCACAATATCATTTACTGCCATAGGTATGGTTCTTCCATCCATGGTTGGCACGTTAACTGAGCAGCCACACAATGCCTAAAATGGACAAAATAAAATTAACAAACTTCAAAACTTAAAATTCTCAACAAAAATACTGCCAAATGTAGGATGATACTACCAAGGTAAAATTTTAACCTCCAAAATATCAATAATTATGACTATTTCCCCATTAAAATCCCTTTGGTTCATGCATAATCAGACATGTTCCAAAAGAAGGAAAGACAAAAGAGAAGGAAAAGGAAAAGAGAAGTAAAGGATGTCTTCCACATTGCTCTGGAATGAAATGGATAGTTTGAGGCTGATATTACAACAGTCAAGATGCAGGGATGAAATGAGAGATGAGAAGAGGGAGAAATTCAGAACTAGAAAGAAGATAGGAGCAATTACCTACTTCTCTGGAGGGACAACAACGTTAGGACAAGGAATACATTTATTGTTTTAGACAACAGGTATTTACTGAGTGCCTACTATATGCCACACATCCCTGCTAGATGCTGAGCATATATAGGGACTATGAACACATACCCCACCTCAAGGAACACACAAAGAACACAGAAGCAAACTAGTAATTACAATATAGCATGATGTTGGCGCACAGCTATGTGCAGAAGCCTTTTCTGAGAGAAAGGGCACCCACCGTTCACCCTTAGCTTCTGGAAGTACAGAATGCTTGAGCTAAGCTTTGAACCAGTAGCTGGTACTGAGGCAGACTGAGGCAGTGTTCCACAGAGCAGAGCTCAGACAATGACACAGACATATATACGTGATAAGAATAGAGTGAACTTAGGGAACTGAATAATTTATGCGTAGAAATCAGATTAAAAATGACCCTTGATTTTAAGCTAAAGGATTTGGACTTTATGATAGATGCTATGTGGAGTCATTAAAAGATTTTTAAGAAGGGAACTGACATGGCCATATTTGCAAGATTATATAGTCCAATTTGAGAAATAGTGCCTAAAAATAGAATAAGAACTTGTATATTAAACTAGTACCCTTATAAATTATTTTGTCTTTTAATACCTTTTTTGTTATATAATTATTACTCCAAATTAACAATTTTGGAAAAATATCTTATACATGAAGTAAGGTAATATGAGATTATAATGCAGATCTCAAACCATACTTATAAAAACAGAGTAAACCAAATATTAGGTCTCATAGTACATAATCCAGTTAGCACTTACAATTGGCATTGAAGTTGTCAGTATAGGTAACTAAACTTAGAATATATAATCTTATCCATAAAAGATAATAGTACCAGCTCAGAGGATTCGTAGGAGAATTAAAAAAATAAAGTGTAGCAAACATTAAATAAATGTTAGCTATTATTTAAATTTCCTAGATCAGATGCGTAATTATTTGGTTTCAGAATTCTAGGTCTTCCTAACTTACCTCTCGTAAACTAATTTTAGCAGTATAAATTATATTTGATCCATCTCTTTTAAATTTGGGGTGATCTTTATCTTTAATGATAAAAACAATGTCTGCTGGAATACTAGTTGGTGTTTCATCTCCTTCCCTTGGAAAAGTAATTTTGGTGCCTTCTTTCCATCCTTTTTTAATCTCAATGGTGAGAATTTTGTCCTCGGATCTATAACTCCTTCCATCAGGGTTTAACCTTTTTCGAGAAATCTTCATCCGCTTGGTACAACCATTATATATTTCTTCAAGTGATACTCGCAGTTCATGAATAATTGGAGGATCTTGTTTGAGGCGGGATGGCCCCACAGAATTCCTGTCTCTTGGATATCCATTCATGCTGAATCCAAAGGCACTAAAAGGATCTCCATCTACTTCCATTTCTTCAGAATCTCTACCACCAGCCATCCGTCTTCCAAAGAAAATTTCAAAGGGGTTGGAACCTCCGAAAAATGCTGCAAATGTGGCATGAGGGTCGCCATGAAAGGTGTACCGGAAGGTGCCTCCTTGTCCATCAGTGCCTCCTGCTCCTCCTTTCAACCCTAAATGAAGAGACAAGCAGGATTAGAACAAAGCTTGCAACTCTTGAAAATTAAACTTTCAAAAATTGTATTACTAATAAACTGTGACCAACTTAGGATGTAATCCATTAATATTGGCCAGAAATGCTATCATAACTAAATATAGAACAGCTACATAACTTCTGATCATTCCATCCTAAGGTAAAATTTTAGCTTCAAATTCTTCCTCCAAATCCCCATTTTTTATGATAATTTATTCCTGAATCTCTGTTCCACAGGTAAATAAGACAATAAAAATTGGGAACCTCTTATCTCGTAAGCTACTGGTTTGACAACCTGCAGTATATAAATTTGTTTTTAAAAGGTGTCAATTGAAAGGTCTTGAGAAATCAATGCAAAATGCATAACCTAAATCTTTAAGTACCATTATCATCAATGAGCAAAACAATCAACAATATAAAATACCATATTCATGCCAACAAATTTTATTTCAGTCATCTTTTACTGTTTAAGAATTAAAACAGAACTCTTTTTGTGGTGGAAAAATTGTAATATTATGAAAAACATTTTTTTAGACACTAATATTGTTATCACTATCCCAGATAACAAACTTGTTTATCTAGGCATACCACATGATAGCATTAATTTCAACAGCATGTAAAAGGAGACTGAAATCAACAGCTGCCAACCCTCGTGACATGTAAAGCCTCTGGACTGGTTATGTCTGCCTATTGTAGACAACCCGCTTCAGACACCAAGTTAGTGACCCCCTGACCCTGTTCTCTAAGGCTGAACTAAGTAATATTCAGCTCACAAGAGATTATGTATTTGAAGCATCATTTTCTACTACATATGAAAAAAGACTCTACTAAAACCCACAAAACAACAGTATTGTAACTTTTTAAGGGACCAATACTGACAAGGATTTAATATCATTACAGTATCAACAAACTTTCTGAATGAGCCTATGGGCATTCCTGACAAAGGAAACAAGCAGGAACAGAATCTAAAAATTACAAAACTGAAACATTTAAGAGATTAAGTTTAGAGACCCCAATATGTTTAAACAATGAGTAATTTGAGGGCAGGAAATACATTTTATTCATTTCTGCATTGCTCATGCACACAGGGCTGAAAAATGATAGGCCCTCATGTTTACTGAATAAAGGGAATGAACTAATTCTTCAAGTCTCCTAAATGGAAACTTTAAAAGGTGTCTTCAGTATCAGGATAGAGAAGAGACAGAAGCAAAAGCAATATAAAATGTAGTCACACACACACATATATGAGAGATTTAGTAATAAAAAAATTTCTACTGTAATCATGCAGCATGCTTTCAAAGAGACTTAGATTTGCATGTCTTATTCTATTTGGCTACTTCCATCAAAAGGTATACACGTACTCCACTTCATCCAACAGTCTCAGCTGATGTTTAAATTTTTACCTTCATCAATGAATAGAAATCTGGAGAAACCAAGAGAAATCTAATAATCTGAAAATTGTCAACATATGTATTGAATGATATATTCAAATAGCAGTTAGGGATATTCCTCGTAGAAACAGAATAACAAGTATAAGCATGCAGGACAAGAACTTTTAACATGCAGCTCATCCAAAACTTCTTTTAGTTAAATTTTAGTGATTTAGTTATAACTCCAAATGTTAAAAAAAAGAAAAGCTAGTGACAGATTTTTTTTTAAATGATAGGCTATGTATATAACTCAAAATCATGACCAATGCAACTAAACCATTAAATTATTTCAATCATTTCATCTTTTATTCCACAAATACAGTATAATTTAACAGTTAATAAAGTAAACTGAGTAAATTAGCCTGTCCAGTCTAACCCTTTACAAGACAAAATCTAAATGTTTGAACCCATAATGGATTCATAAAAAGAATAATATTTTAAGTTATTACATCACGGGTTTAGCTTTTCCCTAAAACCCCTTTTTTCCTCTGCCAAAAAATGGTAGCTCAATCGGGATTACAGAGTCCCTGAGAAGATTCACACACTGTGTAAAGTGACATTTATCAAAGCTGACAAAAAGCCTCCAACAGAACTTTGAAGTTTTCCTTGACACTAGTCAATTACATTGCTCAGATAAAGGACAAGGCTACTATAATGACTGAGAAAAATCCTACCAAAATTCAACGTAACATGAATTGTTATGCAAGTATCACTGTCTAGCACTTGCAATACTTAGCACCTAATTGTAATAGACATGTCATCAACTATACAGTCAACTCTTTTATTACATACATTTCAATTTCTCATGGAAAATTTTAATTCAACTGGATTCCCTCTGCCATCCAAAATGTTTCCTTAGACACCATTATCCCTTTGTGATCAAGGAATGCACTCCAGAATCAACATTTGCCTATGCTTTATTAAGGCTGCTATTATTTTTAAAACAACCAACAAATTTGCAATCCAAAAACAAACATATGTTTGAGATACTATCCATAACAATGATTTCCACTAGTTAGTTGAGTAAAAGTTTATCAAAAGAAACAGCATTGGAGAAGAAATAGGATTGCAAAGAAAAAATTGTAAGACTTTCACAACTCTTACTTTAAAGAGATCTAATATGTAAAAACCCAGATATATAACAAGACTTAAGAGTTACCAGCATAATAAGATCCTTTAAACAGTTGTGATTCACAAAAATCCAATTAACTTATTTTTAGAAATACATAGTAAATAAAAAGAGATCCAGTTGATTAAAAAATAAGGAACTAAAGAAGCAAATTAGTATAGAGATTAATATACTAAATAAAAGTCTATAAATACAGTGATAAATACTGCCTTTCAGTATTTAAAGTTATTAAACTATAAACAGTAAACAAAAAAAAGGCATAAAGAAATGTTAGAGAACTGGACTACTTTAAGACGTGTTATTGAAAAAAAATTTTTTTTAGGTCTTTTAAAACAAACTTATGTTGACATCCATTGAACAATTCAGAACTAAATCTAAAACATTTTGGGAGAGACTGGCTCAAAATCTAATTTTAAATTTCTGTAGTTCTGTGTTTTTTTTGTTTTCAAGTGAGTCAACTAGGGAGAAAATTTCTGTTTTTTAAAATAGAATTATTACATATCATAAAGTTAACCCATTAAAAATATACAATTCAATGATTTTAGGAAAACTTGTAGAGTTGTGTGACCATCACCACACTCCAGTTATAGAACATTTCCATCAACCTAAAGGGTTCTCTAATTTCTATTTGTAGTTAACAGCCATTCCTACCTCTAGCCCCAGGCAACTACTAATCTGCTTTCTTTCTTTACAAATTTGTCTTTTCCATGCATTGAATATGAATGGCATCATAGAATATATAGTCTTTTATATCTGACTTTTATTTAGCATAGTTTTTGAAGTTCATCCATGATGTAGCATGTTTCATTAAATCATCCTTTTAATTGCTAACTAATATTCCATTGGGGGGGTTTTGTGTGTGTGTGTGTGTGTGTGTGTGTGTGTGTGTGTGTGTACACCACATTTCAGTTATCCATTCACCAAATGGAGGTACTTTCAGACTATCTCCAGTTTGGGACCATTACAAACAATACTGCTATGAACAGTCACATACATGTCTTTATTTTCATTTCTCTTTTATAGATTCCTAGGAGAGGAACTATTGGGTCATATAGTAAATTTAAAACATCTCTATTTTTATGCAATTTTTAAAAAAATACAGCATTTAAAATTGTGGATGTTGGAGATTTTCTAAACATGAATAAACTGGATGACTGGTTCTCTTCGTTCCTAAATACATAATTTAGCGTGTTCAACTCATACACTTCCCAGTTCATGATTTCTTATTCCCACTGTCCCAAGCCTTGAAACATAGAGTCATTGAAAAAAAAAAATTATATCAGGTAAATTAGTAATGGCTCCTGTCATAAAATTCAGTGTTTTGCTACTGCTAGAGAAACCCATAGGGCTATGGAACCAGGCCTACAGGCACTAACAAATCCATGAAAGGCAGAGAAAAAATATTTTCCCATATTTTCACAGTACACCTAAAGGAAATTTTTTTAAAAAGAAGAATGAGACCTTCTGAATAAAGGGCAAATAAATAGAATGCTGTTCTGTAAAGGAAGAATAATTTCTAAAAAAGAATCAAATACAGTAACTTTTATTTAGCTGTATTTTCAAGTAACATAACTAGCAAATGATTTCTAAATAACATATTATTTAAAAACTTAAAAAAATGTATTCTTCCCTCACTACTACCTCTATTGCTTATATAAATTATCTGAGTCAAGAACAAAAAAAGATTCAGGGTACAAAGATGATCCTGCTTTAGTTTTTTTTTTTTAATTAACTCACTGATGACCCATAAAATCAAACTGGAGGAACATCATTCAAGAAAAACACTATTGGGCCAGGCGAGTGGCGCGCTGGTTAAGAGTTGGCTTGGGATGCCAGCTCTGAGCGGCAGGGCCCTGGTTCGGATCCCACATGAAGGGCCAGTGACGCTGCGCCCTCTACAGCTAAGCTGGTGAACAACAGCTCTATCTGGAGATGGGCTGCCATGAGTCGCTGGGACAGCATAGGCTGCAGTGGGGCTGGCCATCAGCAGGAGTGAGCGGCGGTCCAGTGGCCAGCGAACGACTGCCTCACCCGGGAAGAGCGCAATGATAATACTAACATGGGCCAGTGAAGCAACGTCCTCCACAACTAGACAGAAGAACAAAAAGGACAGCAACTTGTCTGTTCCCCTCCCTCAACTTCCCAATAAAATCTTAAAAAAAAAAACATTATTAAAAGGTAATGTTAAACCAAGAAAAATGTATCATTTGGTGACTTGAAAATTCTGAAGACAAATATCCTCAGTAAACACTGAATCCTATGGCTTAGTCGTATGAACTGGAGCTATCAGTGAGACGTGGATCAAAGCAGTGAGTATCTGCTTTTCCATAGGAATTTTTATTTCTGGATTTCTTTACAAAATTATAAAGTAAGTTATTCAGAAAGAGTACTATACTGTTAGTAGTATCTGAGAATTTTGCTTAGCTTTTGAGATGAACCAAATCATAGTATTTTGAGTAGGATGGCCATAGGAGCAAGCAAGACTGAACTGCCCACTATTTGCCTTTTTCAATATTTACTTTATAAGAACCTGACACTGCAGGTCCTCATCACACCAAAGCCAGCAGCAAAAACTGCAATTTTGGGCAACTCAAAAAAAAACAAACAAAAAAACCCTCAACCATAATCACCCTGTTTATCTAAATTTAATTTTAATTTTTTAACTCAAAATGAGCAATCATTGTTTTTATTTTAGGATATATTTCTAATTAAAAAATTTTAACATTAAATGCAATAAAGGAAGCAATGAAATAAAAAAAGTTTTCATAACTATAGTGATTTAAAAGAGAACATTTTGGGAGAAAATAATAAAATAGCTTCGTCCTGATTTTAAAAATTGAAGCTATAGGGATTAAAGTATTTTTTTGTTGTTGTTAATTAGCAACTTAAAATATACTTTATAAGCTACATTTATATGGAGATGAACACACTTAATTTAAAATGCAGAATGATAAAAGAATGATTGATCTTAAAATACTCTATTTATTGGATTCAACTAGTTTCTGATCTCACAAGGCAAGAAACAAAAGTATGGAAGGGAGAGAGGAAAGGGAAGTTGTCATGCTTTCTTCTATACCTAGGTAAGTAAAATTTCAAAAGAAATAATACTACCTACATCAATAATTGTGCTAACTAGGTGTCCATTTTAGGTCAAAAACTGTATTTCTGAGATCTCGTTTTCTTGGCACACAATTACTGTTTACAATTAAGCTAAAAACTTGTTCTGGTATTTTATGACATCAGGAAAATTCTTTCCTCTCCAGGCGGAATGCCAAAAACAACTAGAGAGCTAAATGCCTGGGCCTTCTGTTCCTCAGTGAGACGGCTCCGTCTTGTTCAATCTAAACTAGCTTTGCTATAGAAAGGTAAAAAAAACTTCTTTTGGTTTTGTGAATAAAATATAAACTACCCAGAATCGGAACTGACAATCTTAAGATTTTAAGTGACTGAAGGATCTTTATTGGTTCCGGGGGGAAAAATCATTAAAAAATAAAACATGTTGCATAAGACTTTTGACACAATTCATTAATGTGTATGAGAATGTAAGGTTTCTTTTCAAACATACAATGCTAACATTATAAATCTAATGGTAGAATATGGGTATTAGAAAATGCCAAAATCTAAATAAAAGGCAAAGAAGTACATTTCATCCACAGCTATGTAATATTCATTCATATGATCAGAAATGAAATGTGGCTTTTATCCATTATCTATCTTTCTACTTTTAATATGTCTGAAAATTTAATGATAACCAGGAGGCTGAGAGAGAAAGGAAAAAAGAAAGAGGAAAAACACAGTTGGAGAGAAAGATATTCATAGAATACTTACCTTCCTCTCCAAACTGGTCATATATTTCTCTCTTTTTAGGATCACTCAATACTTCATAAGCTTCTGCGACCTCTTTAAATTTTTCCTCTGCTTGAGGAGATTTGTTCTTGTCCGGATGAAATTTGAGGGCTTGTTTTCGGTAAGCCTTTTTAATATCTTCATCTGAAGCTCCTTTTTCAATTCCCAAAATGCTATAATAGTCTTTCCCCATTTCGAACGCCTTGAAATGAACTTAGATTTCCCTTTGTGAGAGAAAACAGCGTCCCCAGTCTGAGCAGTACAAAGGCTCTAAAAAAATAAACCAAGCTCGGTAATTTAAAAGTTAAAGCACATCAGCAATTCAGCTTCGCTGTCTGAAGGCAGCACGCAGACAGCGTCTCCGTATTTAATTCCTTGCCCAACAGCTCACTTACAGATAAATATACACTACACAGGAGACGGCCTCCTTCTAGATCCTCCCATTTTCACTACGTGTCTCTGTACTTTCTAGAACAGCAAATGCTACAGGACGTCACTTCCCCAGCTGCCTCTAGTCAAAGTACTGAGCTAGGTTTTCTCCTCCTCCATGATTAACTATTCATTCTCCTTCTGGCTCTACCATTTTTATTCCCTTTTTAAGAGGCCAAGTAGATTGAGAAACCAATTATTTCAGCATAGAATGTCATAACTACGCATTTATTTTTACTCCATTCTAGGTGAAAAGGCAACAAAGTAATTATAACCAATAAGCATCCTACATTAAAATAAGTTAAAGTTATTATACAAATAAAAGTACCCTTGAACTTATTTTAGATATTTTCATTTCAATTTCCAGGTATTCAAATGTAAGACATACAATACTAAAATATGGTTTAAATTAAAATTTTCAAATAATTTGTGTCATTTAAAAAATTCCTGGGGTCTATCCATCAAATATACCAGGAAGTCAATATACCAATTTCACGTTGTAAAAACACTATATCATAAACTTCAAAAGCAGTATTTTAAAATAAGGACTTAAATGTGATTTTAGCTAATGATTTTAACTAGGTTTTTGTAGTATACAAGAGTTAATAGTCCTGGCAGACCAATATTTTTCAAATAGTCAGATCTGATTTTAGTTACTTCAACTAAAACAGAATGAGACACCCCCATTCCTATCAGTCACTATTTAAAGAACTGCTGTGCTGCAGGAGAGATAGGAGCAAAGTATCAGGTTACAGACAGAAATACTCATGTTTCTTATAAGACCTTAACTGGATCACCTTAAAATCTGGATATGCTATTTATGGGGCAGTAATGAGAAATATTTTTTCTTTTAAATCCACATTTTTCCTAATTGGAAATATAAATCATTGTCAAAGATTTTAGAAAACAGAAATTAAAAAGAATAAAATAAAAACCTTTATTATACCCCGATAAATATTAGTGTATTTCCTTCTAATCCTTTTTATCCTATGGATATTTATGGTTATTTGTTGTAGTTTTGTATTTTTTATCAATAAAGTTTATATCATATCACTTACATATCCTTTTGATGCCTGCTTTTTAATATATATAGGTATTTAAGAGAAATATTTTGAATGTATATAGCTAATCTTTTATCTCCTATATGGTTTCCTCATCTTTTAAAAAATGTCCCCATTTCTAATATATTGGAAAGACGGATTAATAAGAAAATGTCAAAAGAATTGCATCGAGCCCTCTACTTAAGTAGCTTAAGTCTGTAAACTTAAAAAAAAAGGATCATTTATGAGAAAAAGTAAATGTACATATATGTTTAGAGTATAATGAAAAGGTGTTAACTTCTAAAGACATGGGAACACCTACTCTATATGCCAAGCAGCTTTACATTAATGATTCAGCAATTTTTTTAGAACGTTCATCTTTTTGCATTTTGACAGTTAGGATTTCCTATTTCTCAAAACTCTACTTTAAAAATAACTTGGTATTAGAAATTTATAACCTCTATCTAGCCTACTTACAGGTTATGGAGGTTTGTCAGCTATTCAGCAAATTCAGAAAAGTACTAATATACAAGTCACTTTACGACTCCTACTTTAAAAAAAAAGCATTTGCAAGTTGGAGTCCAGTGTGCAGGGGTCAGCATCTAGAGCAGGGTAAAATACAATAAAAACTGTCTATTCTAGAATTAATTTCCAAGAGAGTTCCTTTAAATATTCATTACCAAAGGAACACTGACATCGATATCTCTGAAAAGCCTAGATTGTTCTGGTGGGTAATACTGGGAGGAAAAAAATATAGATTCTCATATGATTTAATCATTTTCAGAGAGCCAGAAATATAAGAACTTGACATATTAAGATTTTAGAACCCAAAGACTAGGTTTTTTACATTTCTCAGAAATGCATTATATATTAACAAACGGGAAGAAATCTGGTTCTCCACACAAAGACAATGGTGATACAAGGATTTTCATAATTCTTCAAATATCTTAAACGCAGAAATGAACCATAGCGGTAAAGTTGAAAGGCCAGAATTCACCTCAACTTGGAAATTTCAAGTTAATAAAGAAGCAATTATGATTATAAGGCTTTAAGTAACAGTCTTGCTAGCTTTTGATAAAATGAGCAGATACTTGTACACTTCTAGCTTTGTAAATAATTCTTTCAAACATTTGGGAAGTTATTAAAAAATGATTTTAAAAGCCCTATAATACCATACCTGAAAATTTTTCCTTAGAAAATAATTCAAAAAATAAAATTATTATATATACAAACATACTCATGGCAATAAGATATAATAGGGTAATGGATCGACATGATCATTACTAAACTACATAGTATTATTGAGACATTTTACTCTTACATTCGTTTTTTTTTAGACTGAACTGTCTTCTCCACCACTTAGGGGTTTAAAACCCATACACAATCACTTTACATTAAATTCTCATCATACAAGTTTGTATAAGATGAATGTGGGGTTGTTTTTTTGGGGGGAAGCAAGCAATTGTCAACCCTGTAAATAATTATCATGACAAAAATAGAGTATGTAAAGGGAACAGTAGTGGCAACCTTTAGGGGAAATGGAGCAGAGAAAAGATGTGAACAAAGCTTATTTAATAAACATTAACAAAAGTAAGAATAAAAACAAAACAAAAAAAAACTATATAATAATAATCTATTTGAAGTATTACTTAGAAATCACATAAATCCCTGCTTATTTGATGTTACAGGTATGTATATGTATGGCACAAAGTTTGAAGAGAAAAAAAATAGCTAGAGTTAGTACCACATACAATTTTTTCCCTTAAATTTCTTTAAGGCTGCTATATTTTTAACAAAGTTATGAAATTAGTGTATGTATTTAAAAATTTTTACTTTACCATTCAAATGCTGAGATTATTCCATGAAAACACAATTCTTTCATTAAAAGAAAATTACAGAGTCAGATTCTTCTTCTCAATGTTTACAGCTTACAAGGTCAAGTTCTCATGCTAGGGGAGGGGTAGTTATCTCTAGCTGAAGGCAGTTACAGTGTATTTTAAAGACATAATTTTCATTTTTTCAACCAAATCAGAAAACTTTTAATGGCAGCAAAGTTTTTGTGCTTTATAATACATTTGGGGGAAATGTATCACTCTATTTTAGAGAGCCATGGGCCAGGGTTTAGTAAAAATTCTAATGATATTTTATTTTGTTTTCAATAACTCTAAAAATCTTCCTTATTTGGGATACTATGCTTTAATAATAAACATAGAGAAATTATTTTTACACAAGTATGAAGTTTTTATTTTATAATTACAGTTAAAATATTAAATATGAAAATAAACAAAAGAAAATATTAAATATGTTCACATAATAAGCATGAAAGCTAAAGAAAACTGTAATCACAAAAAACTAGAAGTATATAAGTAGTCATTGAACTGATGCCATCTTAACATTCTACTTTGGCTTTATTCATAGACAATAAAAAATAAGTTTTCTTTCTCCAATTCACAAATCATTTCTCATTTTATAATAAATTAGTACAGAGTAGGACAGCACGCCTTCTAGGGTCTCAGAAAATTAATATTAAAATTCACATCATCACACTTAAAATATTTTACCTATGCTCCTACTGAAAACTTTTTCTGTCAATATTTAATTCTTAAATGGTATATTTCTCATTTAGTGATTGGTATTAGTAAATTATGATTTCCAATCCCTGATACTTATCCAAGAATAAGCAAACTGAGGCTCTTTTATGCCTTGTTAATAGTACTTTATTTAGACAGGTGAACATACAATCTCAAATATAAGTATGTAACAATAGTTATAAGCTTTGCTAAGGTGACACCAGGGAATATTGATAGTGCAGTGGTTAAAAGCAGATTTTGGGTTACAATCCTGGCAACACCACTTACTAGCCTGTGTGGCCTTGGATTTAACCTTTCTGTGCCTCAGTTTCCTCATCCTTCAAATGGGATGAACATGAATACCAACTTCATAGGGTTGTTGTGAGGATTGAATAAGCATAATGTGTGATGCACTTAAATGTCACTGGCACATAGTGAGGACTATGAAAATGTTACCTGCTATTATGATGACAATTATTTCATCATATGAACTAGATAAATTTTTTTAAGAAAAAAATAACCATGTGTATAACAAAATGTCCTTATTTACGAACATACACATCCATATACACAAAAACTGCCAATGGCTCTTTCCAAATATTCCAGTTAATATTTGCTACTTACTCATCTTGACTGTTAATATTTCATCATTAAAACTTCACATAGATGGAATTCACTATATTTCAAACACATTCATTTGTATTTCAAATGTGTGCATTGTATTTCAAATACAGTAATCAAGACAGTGTGACATTGGTGAAAGAACAGGCAAATAGATTAATGGAACAGAAGAGGGAGCCCAGAAATATACCCATAAATATCGTCAACTGATCTTTGACAAAGGAACAAAAATAGTGCTAAATAGTGCTGGAATAACTGGACAGCCACTTGCAAAGAAATGAATCTAAACACAGACCTTACACCCTCAATAAAAATTAACTTAAAATGGATCACAGACCTATAAGTAGAATGCAAAATGATAAAACTCCTAGAATATAGGAAAAAGTCTAGATGACCTTGGACTTGGCAACGACTTTTAAAATACGATATAAAAGGAATAATTCATCAAAGAATTGATAAACTAGACTTCATTAAAAATTTCTGCTGAGAGACACTGTCAATGGAATGAAAAGACAAGTCACAGAAAATAATTCAGAAGACATATCTGATAAAGGACTGTTATCCAACATATATAAGAGCTCTTAGAACTCAGTAAGAAAACAAACAACCCAACTAAAAAATGGGACAAAGATCTTAACACACACCTCACCAAAGAAGATACACAGATGGCAAATACATATATGAAAAGATGCTTGACATCGCTTGTCATCAGGAAAATGCAAATTAAAACAACAGTGAGATGCCACTACATAACTTTTTAGAATGGCCAAAATCCAGAACAATAACACCAAATGCTGGTGAAGATGCAGAGCAACAGGAACTCTATTTATTGCTGGTGGGAATGCAAAATGGTGCAGCCACTTTGGAAAACAGTTTGGTGCCTTCTTACAAAAACATACACTTATACTATCCAACAATTGTGCTCCTTGGTATTTATTTACCCAAAGGAGTTGAAAACCTATGTT